AGGTATTATTATGATTACTATAAAACCACTCTTTATATATGGTAAGGATATACCCATTCTTGTTGTTTTAATGGATCAAAGATTTTCAAACCCAATCAATGTTGTAATTGAAAGAATCCAATCCAATTTAGCATCAGGACTTGTAGCTTTTAAAGTCAAACCAAATTATTTTCTTTCTATAACAGATCCTTTAATTTAAAAAAAGTCTTTGTTTACATATTAGAACAAAAAATTCTGATATAAACATTAGATCTCATGATTTGTCAGCCAACTGAACTGCCGTATGAGTTTACAAATACTACCAGAGTTTTTATCAAAAAGATATATCCTCAGCTGATTGAAATTTTTAAACCACAAAAATTTGAATAAAAAATAAAACCCAAATTTATGGACATACGTGATTTATCTATCCTAACAAGATGGCTTATACCTAATAAAAAGACTAAAGAGGAATTTAGAGTCAAAATACTTCTCTTGAATTTTTCTCTTCAAGAAAAACTCTTTATTTCAAAAATACTAGTTCTTATAATCCAAATCCTGAATTAGTACTTCCTCCATCATTTTCTAATTAAGAAGATGATTTAGAAAGTTTAAGTAGTCAACAATCATTTGCTACTCCATATAGAAATTCTTTTTTAAGATTTCAAACGAATAGTACAACCAATACTCGAATTCCTATTTTTCTTAGAGATAACCAATCTCAACCATCATATTATCAAACAATCAATTCTGTATTAAACTTTGTATCTTCCATTAGAAAAACTAGAATAGAAGAAACAAAATCTTTGGTTTTAAAAACTAATTTAATTAGTTTTAGTAATAAAAAAGCAAATAGCTTTTTTACCTTTGTTGAAGGTAATTTTTGTTTTCAAAACTATAAACCTATTCTCTACATATTTTACTTGACACTGGGGCAACACTCTCTAGCTGTCGCAATAATGCTTTACCATTAAACAAATGGGAACCAATGAAGCATCCTATTATTGTAATAGGAATAGAAAGAAAAGAAACCCTCATTGGATACAAGGCAAAAAATGTCCTTGTATATTTCAATAATACTAAGTTTATAATCCCAAAAATATTATGTTTTCCTCATATGCATAGAGACATGTTACTAAGGAATAATTTTTTTATAAAATATTTACCATTTTCAATATACCCTGATAATGTTTTTCTTACAATGGATAATCAATCCATTAAAATAAATTTAACAAAAGAACCACAAAACATTTGTGATAAAAATTTTCAACTAAAAACTCAATTTTCACAAATCCAGTTCATCAATTAAAAACATTGGTTATATACTATTTAAAAGAAAATTTTTCTGAATAACCTTTAAAACTATGGGCAAAAAGTCCTAGATTTTGTTCTCTCCAACATATTGATCCCTTTAAAATTATTAGAGTAAAACTTATGATCTACACCAAACAGGATATAGATAAATTTGAAATTCAAATTTTTTTTCTACTTTTAAAAGGGTTAATTCAAACCATAACTAGCCCTCATTCAAGCCCGCATTTTTAGTAAGAAATTATGTAGAAATCAAATGAGGAAAACCTCAAATGGTAATCAACTATAAGCGATTAAATCAAAACCTCATTTTTTTATGGCTACTATATTCCTAAAAAAGATGTTTTGATTAATTTAGCAAAAACTGCTAAATATTTTTCAAATTTTGATTATAAATCAGGCTTTTGGCAAATTAAACTCAAACAAGAATCAAAAGCTTTCACTGCTTTCAGTGCACCAATAGGACACTATTAGTGGATTGTTATGCCATTTGGCCTTTGCAAAGTACCTTAAATTTTTCAAAGATGGATAGATGAAATTTTTGAAAAACACAAAAATTTATGTTGTGTTTATATTGATGATATTTTAGTTTTCTTATCAACTCTAGATGATCATAGAAAACATCTTAATATCATTTTTCAAGAATTCATTTAGCATGGTATCATACTCAATCCAAAAAAAGATTGAGTTAGAAAAAACACAAATAGAGTTTTTAGGATTAAAACTCTCTTTTGATGGTCTTGAATTATAAGATCATATTATAATAAAAATTAGAGAATTTTTAGAAAAACTAGATACCAAAAAATAACTACAACAGTTTCTAGGTCTTTTGAATTATGGAAGACCGTTTTTCAAAAATCTCTCAAAAAGAGAGAAAATTCTTCAAGAAAAACTGAAAAATGATGTAGAAATTTCATGGAATGTTTCTGATACTGATATTATTAAACAAATAAAATCAGACCTTACTAATATTTCAAAGGTATATCTTCCTAAACAAGGAGATTTACTTATTTTAGAAACTAATGCTAGTGAAGAATATTAGGGTTATGTTCTAAAAACAAAAAATTTTCATAAAAAAGATGATTACTTTGTGGTTGTAACTTTGAAAATTTTAAACCAAATGAAATCAAGTATATTATTTTTGAAAAAGAGTTATTAGCTACAAAAAATGTTGTTTCCAGATTTTATATCTTTTTAGCCTTAGAAAATTTTATCATCCGAACTGATAATCAATTTGTTCAAGATTTTTTAAAAAATAGAAAACTTTTTTATAATCCACGAAGAATAAAATGATATAATTTTTTATGCCAATATAACTTTACTATTGAATATATTAATGGAGATAAAAATTTTCTTGTAGATTATCTTAACAGACCAGATGGATTGAGGTAGAAAACCTTAGCAAAATCTCAAAGGGCAGAGAACTATACAAAAGAAGAAGCAAACTAAAAAGGTTTCTTCTTCCTCCTTTTTCTCAAAAGTAGATTTCCCTTATAATCCTAACCCAGGATTATTCATCTACCAACCTTATGGATATCTACCTCCCCAACTCCCTCAACGACTATACTATCATTAGAGAATTCAACCAGACTTCTCTCAATTTGCCCAAAATCCAAATCAATGAACCCTTATGTCTTATTCTCAAATAGTATCATCTGCAGAACAAGTTCTTCGCGAAGTCCAAGTTTCTAATCAAGAAATTAAAGACTTCTATAATCTTGGATTTCAACCAAAAGTTTATAATTTATTAAATCATATCTGAAAATCTCATTTATGCCAAAACAAATCTCAATTTAGAAAAAGGATGACCAAATCAGCTGAATTTTTTGTTAATCAAACCAAAAAGTTTCAAAACTTTCAAAAAGCAACTTTCCAAAGTCTTTTTTCATCTAATATGTTAAAACAAATAGATATAGATTTCTTTGCTTCGGAAGAAAATCAATATTCAATATAAGAAATAAACAATTTCCTGTCCCTTTGTGAGTATTTTAAATCATAAAATTCTTCAAAAATATGAAAATTATTCTGTACACTTCTTTTTGAAAAAGCTACAGTATTCCTAACAAAAGAATTATTTCAACAAATAAATTTACATATCCTTCATACAATAGAAAAACTGTTGATTGAAAATTTTTTTGAGTTTTACTTTGCCACTTATATTTTCACCACAGAACTTAGAGACCAAATCCCCAAACTCAAATTCAGATTAAATCATGATCATTTTGATATAATCAGTATCGAATTAAGCATAGTTAGGCAAATTCTTGTTCAAAATTTTTCTTTTAAATTAATCAAAGACTTCTCAGCCTTCATAAAACACCATTTTCATCAAATGACTAAATATGCTAAACACTTTTCTATATTCAGTTCCATATCACCAATCTTCTTGAAGTCTTTCAAAGAGAGATTCTATCAACTTTATCAAATATGGAAAGCACAAAAAATCTCTTATGGATTTATGTTGGAACCATCTATGGATGCTTTCAAAAATTCAACTAACTTAAACAAAGTCATTCAAAAATTTTTAATCATTCACGATATCAATTCCAAACAGGAATTTTCATGATGCAAAAAGCAAAAACATTGTTTGATCTTACCACCAAACAACAATTTCCACGAATCGCTGCATAGATTGATGGCAGATGAATTTTTGTATTAACATATTATGCTCTACATGAAGATTTAGGGTCGAATTTGAACCAAAAGCTTTAAAACTTCTGCATTAATTGTTAGAAATGGAAGATCTTGATCACCCTCAAGAACTTCTTTTTCAATATCAAAAAAAATGACAAATGTGAAACAAATCAAAATTAACCTCTCCTTCATCTTTCAATCTAGAAGATGAAAAGCTCCAGAATCTAGATAATCGATTTGATGGATAAGCTATTTTACACCAGAATAAGCTTATTCTCAAAGCCGCCGACAGAAGCAAACAAAGCTAACTGAAACCCAGGATCAACCAACAAAAATTATTGTAACAATCACTATAATAGAAGTCACTGTAATAGTTACGTAACAGACAAATTTAATCTTCTACAATGAACAGATAAGCAATCAATCACTGTTTTCAACCTTTTTCTTGTTATAAATAATGAAGCTATTTCTCAACGAGGGGTTAGGCTTCCTTTCCTTTTCTTCTGTATTTTCCCTTTCTTTCCTTCCTTTCGCTCCTCCCAAACTGAGAGTGATCTTTTATTTTCTGTAAATAAAGTGATCTTTTATTTTCTATAAATGGTATCCATGCATTACCGCTAAATCTAATGCTTAGGGTTCAAACTTGTGTTAATCCATCTTTATCGTATACAGTTGTTACGCAAAGAATTATAACGTTTTATCTGAATTTAGTGTTTTCAATACTATTTTTAGTTTTAATTTTATTTGATGTAAAAATATACCATTTTCGATCCTCCCCTCTAAGACAAGAACTAAATTACTTGAATTTAGTGGTTTTCATTACTATTTTACTGTTCATTTAGATTTTTATTTAAATATATATTAATTTTATCCCTACTGTAGTAATATATTACTTAATCATATACTAACAGAAGGTACTATAGTAACCCTTCATTATAACTCCGGTTAAGTTGATTACATATGTATATGTATATATGCCGTAGATAATAGAATACCACCTTATTTGTTAACGAAAAAGGCCAAAGTGCAATTGGTATGTCAAATTTGTGGCTTTTGGGGGGGGGGGGGGGAAAGGCTGAAGGACCAATAATCGGATCCCAAAGGACCGACAACCATACTATCTACACTGTAGGAATAGAGTTTTAAACGGAGGAATCGAACACACGGATAAACGGAGGAATTGAACACGGATCATTTATTCTAAGCTTTTCAAAAGCCTAAACAAACCGGCTGCTTCTCTAATCCTTGAGAACTCAATGCAGAAGGCTTGTACTTCAATAAACAGATCCGTAACTGCAAAATAATAATAAAAACAACAATCCAAATAAACAAAAGGCTGACTGCAAACATCAATAACTTCCGGCAACAAACAAATCAAAGCATATGACATATCCAAATAGCAGAACATTGAAAAAAGAAACTTGTTAAATATGTCTCAAGAAACAACCACACTTATTACATCATAAAATCATAGATTAAGATCTGAAGGATGCAGATAAAAAAATTCAACATTTGCCCCATCTCTAGTTGTTTCATGGTGTGTGGTACTTGTTAGAAATTTCTTCATAACCATATACCACCATGCAGTCACTTCCATGACAACAGCAGTCAATAAGCAAACACACTCCTACAACTACCATTAAGGCCACTCAAGAACTCAGAAGGAAAGACATAACCACGAAGTAACATCACTATTGATGTTTGATCAATGGATTATTATTCTACATATCACCGGCAGATATCAAAAACTTTCACAAGTAGAGCCACAATCTTGCCGCATAGAATAGAGCAACATAAAAGGCCAGCATCAAACACACACATACATGCATCCACGTATTGCACACACTCGCAGACACACAACCCTTATGTTGTCTGCATCAGACCACATTAGAGGAGTTCTACCATATTTATGTGTTTTTTTTTTTTGTGGCCGACTACAGTATTTAATTTAGTGACCAAATGGAGGAACCTACTAATAATCATCTCAGCATGCCTGCATATATGTTCATGTTGTACATCAAAATGACAAATGGTAAAACATCTTTGACTAAAAGTGAAAGACCATACTTACCATCAATTATTCTGTTTCTGATTAAACTCTGCAAAAAAACACATACAAGTCGCACGAGTCTGTTCTGCATGTACTTATCCTGAAATTTAAAATGATTGTAACAAGTGATACACTAAACGTAGTTTAACAGAAGAGCAAACTGAAATGCAACGAGAAAGTTGAACATTTAATAAGTAGAAATACTCAACAGATATTCTACCCATTTGGAAACAGCATCAGTAAAGTCAATTGCAAACAGATACAGCTTTGACATAACGAACAGCATGCCTAATTTTGAAAATAGAGAAGTCCAGTTACATCTCAGAAGCCCCTTTTCTTATTCAGCTGGAAAAGCATATTGTTTCATTATATTATACACTTTAAATATTGAAAAAAATAATAAGAAAATTCAACCAAAAAGAGCTCGCTAATCAAGCATCCAGTAATCATAAAAGAACTATTTCATTCTGTACAATGAAATAGTAAAATTAAATAAAACATTCAAATAAAGAAAGGAAGCCTCTTAGTAGACCTGAAGAATCAAAGGAATAAATACTGCTCTAGTAGCGAAGACCAAATGGGTCAAGTGAAAAGCAATTATGACTCAAATGAAAATGACTCAAATGAAAAATAAAGTAAAAACTTGGAAGAAAACTCAACTTTTGATGGTAAGGTAGATAAGAAAAAAAATAATAACAGTAAGAAAATCAGAAAAAAGAAGGAAAAACTTAGACAGAAAGAAAATCAGACAATAAAAAATGTGGTCAAAATGATGTGCACCAAAAAGCTTAATGTCAAACGAGGCATGGCATCAGTATGACAGTTGACATAGCAGATTTCACAACCTTTCTAGCAGGTGACCAAAGACAAAAAAAAAAGATTTGATTGTTAAATATTTCTTAAAATTCTGTTTACCTGACTGTTGAAATTAGAAAAATGGGAATATCTAGTTAAGAGGATAAAAATGGAGACATAATTTGTGTAATTTGCCCTTGTTATAAGCTAGTACAAGCACATTAAAATAACAGATAGCAGAGAAGTTCTGTCATTGTCCCTAACCCGCTCTACATTTGAAAACAAACTACATTTTAGGTGTCTACAGAGAATAATCTTAAAAAGGTTTAAGGAATTTTTCCACCAATTGATGAAACTTTCTCTAGGAACTTTAAAGGCCCAAGAAACAACTGTAGCTATTCGGTTATCTTTCCCGTAGTGGTCTTGCCTTCCACTTTATCATGTCATTTTACTCTTTCTTGAGGTCCTATTCTTCGCTCTGTCAAACACCTAGATTGGCATCTTTTCTCTTCCACCAATCCAGTCCCATGTCACCAAACCATTAGAATTAATTCCACAACCCAACAAAAATGTAGGAGACACATCCTAGATGAATCTTTCATCTTCAATTACAAAGAATGCCACACATATCCAAACCAGTTGAAAAAAAAAAACAAAAAAAAAACAAAAACAAAAACAAAAGCAAAAATATACAACACACAAGACACAATCTAATATATATATATATATATATTGGAAGTACCTTGATGTTCTCGCAGGATGATATACAATTAGTTATGTACATACGGACAAATTCCTTCGGAAGTTCAACGACAGTTGTGAGCCTGTTCACAACTTCCATGGAGTGTAGACTCATGTCCATGTTAACAAGAACTGTAAAATACCTGGATACACATTCACAGAAAAAGAAATTTCAAATTTTAGAAAGGGATTGTTGGTTAGAATGCATTAAACAGAAATTTCACTGATTCACCAAATACATACTCTGCAATTTCAGGAGAATTTATCAACTTGGTCAGAACCTCAACAGCAATAAGCGGATTGTTTTCCACCAATTCCTGAAATTAAGGGGGTTGAATGTTAAGATAGCATAATTATAACTTACAAGCCAAAATGTAGAACTCTCAAATAACATACAGGTAGCTTCCTTGGAGTCAATCCACAGTGATACACAAGCTTGGGGTCATTAACAAGCTCAACCAGGACTTGCTGAAGAGAAAGAGACAAGTTCAGTCTGTTTCCAACCACAAGACCATAAGTGTGCCAGATAATAAACGCAAGGAAAGGTTCAGCCATTAGAAATATGTATCTTTTGCATTTTTCCATAAATAAGATGAACCATGTTAAACAAGCCACTACTTTACCAAGTAGCACATTTTGACATATACTTTAATGGGATCTGCATCCAAAGACAAACTCAATACACCAGCTATAAAACCCAAACAAAATCAAATCACAAACATTATACATAAAACCAGCTATTGCTAGAACAGTTTGCACATATCACAACATGTGTACCTCTTCCAATGAATGTAAATCAGAATTAATCACCATCTTCAACAGTGGCATATCGAGTCTAACAGATTTATATAAGGTAGGCTTAATTGTGTATTTAAGTCTTTTACCAACAAATGGATTCTTTCTAGCACAGGACATGTAAGGATTTCTTCATGATAACACATGGAAATTGAGACATAATGCTTTTAATTCAAAAAGGGGGAGATCAACAATCCACTTTCTTTTATAAATACCAAACTAACCACATACTGGTGCAACACAATTAAGAGTGAGTAACAACTACCAAGCCTTTTCCCATTACATATTTCATACTGAGCCACTTACAGCCATATCCTACTTAGAAACATATCCACAATAACTTGATTAAATATGAGGTCCTTTTTCTAGAATCCACCTATCCTCTTTGGTCTTGATTTCCCTCTCCTGAAATAGGTATCCTCCATTAAATCACATCTTCTAAAAGGAGCATCTGTAGGTCGTTCATTACATGTATAAAGGAACTTGGCCATGTTCCCCTAATTTTGTCCTTGTTTGGTGCAACCAACAAGAAAACAGAGAGCCCAAAAAGTGGAAAAGGAAAAAAAAAAAAAACAAAAACAAAAACAAAAAACTTAGGGTGATTGTCAAAGTTTACAAGTCAATTGTAAATGGACAGACCAGTTGCAAGCCAGAAAGGAAGAATAAGAGCAGAAAAAGGGAAAAACAAAATATTAAAAAATAATAATAAAGATGAGCAGAATAATGAGCTGCAAACAGCAGCACTCAAGAAGCTAGAGTCTGTCAGTGGATAGAGAAGGAATGGAAGGACAAACTGCCAAATGCTTTTCCTTTATCCTTTTCTTTATCAAAGGCCAAGTTGAGTTTATTAGTTGAGTAATTAGTTTGACTTCTGTTCAATTTTTTATTTTCAGTGTTGCAAGACTTATGGCATGTAAATGGAATTGGCAAATTCTAGCCACATAATTCCATGTGCTCCAATTAAGCAAAAGATGCATGTTTACAGATGCAATCTATTCCGCCACAAAACTGCCCTAATGCGAAGAAGTTTGTAAGATGAAGGCTTCAATTGGACTGACTCAAAGGTCAGATTCTACAATGAAAATCTTACTAAGAGTTAGATCCTAACTGCAGCTTTGGTTCTTATAAAAGACTCGATCACATCACGATGAGTCCCACCATTGAATTCCTCTATGCTATATGAGAAGTCTCAGATATTAAGGTTGTTAAGGTTCAAAAATCTCTGAATATATGCTCAACAGCACTCAACTTAAGCATATTTAGAATGTATGTTTTATTATGATACCATAGGTATCATGAATGTTTAAATTAATTGATATTCATTAGAAGCAGTCCCAATGAACTAATCACTCGATGCAAATAAAAGCAGGTCCATCACATCCAAGACCAAACCAGTGATGTCATGTAGTTTTTACATAAATAAATGTACAACGCATGGTTATTAGATGTGCAAATAATAATATTAAAAGGGTACAAAACCTGTTGTTGGTTAGGTGCAAGTGATCCCTTCAAAGCTTCTGCAATTAAGTCTTTGACTGCTGCTCCTCTGCTAGTATCAGCACACATCCCTTGATCCCATTGAAGCTCATGATTGTTATCAGGGTTGAGCCACACTAGCTGAAAAATTCTTGACAGGTAAAACATGTAAACTCCACTAACCAATTAAATAACAGCCCCTGAAAAAATGTTTTACCTCCTCATCCACTGGGAACCTAGGTGGAAGAGGCCTGATCCAATGAGGAATTAACCCCTCCAATGAAAAATTCGCTATCAATCCACTTAGGGCTTCATCTCTGTCCCCAGATCCAAGTTTAGATTTAGCTCCAGGTTGTAAATCCAACCTAATGAGAAAAAATAAAGCATGAAACAATATTATGGATCATCGTATAAGGAATACAAAATAAAAATAAATAAACATTTTGAGAAACATACTCTGCTGGATTTGCATCACAACCATGAGGAACATCAGGATCTGCCAACACATTTTTCACAGAAGTGTTTTTTAATAAGCAAGCATATGGTTCTGGATGGTGTTTCTCAAGATATTGTTGCTGTAACTGCTCTCCTTGTGGGAAAGCCTAATATAAGACAGATAAAAAGGGATCTATAAGATGAATTGAAACACTAAAAATCTTAAAGAGAAAGGGTTATTAATAGAGAAAAGGGGGAGAGAGCTGGATGGAGAATTAATTTTCAACAAATGCAATTGAAGCCCCCCCCCCCCCCCCCCCAACAGTGAACAAAAAAGTAAAGAAAAGCCCAGCATCGGTTATTTCATCAAAAACAAGATTACATAGACCAAGTTTGCACCAACTTAGTAGAAGAATAAAAAATTAGCGCAAACAAGAGCTCAACATTTTTTTTTATCAAAAAAAGTTGTAACTACATGAAGAACTTACTTGGGATGAAGGATCAAAATTCTTGATGTAATCTGAAGCAGACTGTTTAAGAAACTGCAAGACAAAATTCAACAGCAATGTGAACTCCCTCAACTATGGGAATTACTTTGTAACTATAATCAGCTATAGACATAAAAAAGCATCTACCCAACCCAAGGCAAAGCACAGCAACAAACTCTTACACAATAAACTCCCAATAAAATCTAACAAATATCCATCAAAGTAATGTACATAATAACACACACAACAAATGCACACATTTTTGAGAACCAAAACTCTGCCATGTTTGGCATACCAGAGCCCTGCAAACGTCAAAATGAAGTAAAATAAATTGTTAGGACAGGGAAGTCCAAAGTGATTTTCCCTTGGTTTAATTCCATTCTTCCCTTTTATGCACTTAATAGTTAAAGACATATAGGTTTCTCAAAGCAGATTCCTAAAAACAATTCAAATGGCCATCTTCAGTTGGTGACTAACACTTGTCACACATGAATGCGAGTCCAATACACAGCAAATTTAAAAATATACCAACTTCTTGCAAATGTTTGGGGGAAGAGAGAGAGAGAGAGAATCAACCTCTTTACTACTGTTGGAGTTGCCAATGCCTAGCAAAAGGAAGATAAATGCCCTCTCATATTTTTCAGCTCCATCATCACATGCAGCCTGTAATATCCAGAAGACATAAAAGACATACAAAAGAAAGGTATAAAAAAATATAAAAAAAGATTTAATTGAAAAAAGAAATGGGTATTACATGATTGTTGATGTCATATAAGCACTAGGTGAAAAATAAGAGGAGATGAGGGAAAAAAGACACGATGATATATGACAACCACAAGAGGAAACAACTTGTTTATATTCTTCTTTCTTTTATTTCTCATGAGGTCAGAAGCAACACAAGAAGAGAACTCAGTGCCTTCCTTAAAATATTAGAATAATAACAGTGATGCAAGTTAAGGGGTTTTTTTTTTTTTTTCCCTTTTTTTAAGAAAAAATCATCTATTGTTCCACTCATAAAGAAGCAAACCTCTTTGAGACTTTGACTATCAAAGATGTGCCAATATGGTGGAATAGTTGCATCCAAAGGAACCAGAATTTTCAATTTTTAATTCTTAAAGCAAAGCAAAATCAGTCAGAAAATTTTGCAGTGACAAGCTTGCTTGCCCCTAATAGTCTAGCACGTTTGCCTGCACGCCTCCCCAGAAATGTATGGCATTTGTTAACCTAAATAAGCAACATACATGGATAGGCTCAAGTGAGCTCACTCAATACATGGTTATCTTAGCATATGAAAACATATAAAGAGAAAAACATTCACCAAACTTGCTAACATGAAACATAATGAGGACCAAAAATTCACTTACATTCACAAGAAAAGAAATAAATGGGTTTGCAGTAGACTCTTGAGAGGAATAGCTTTGATTAAGAATAGCAAACGCAACCAATCGTTCAGTAGAACTGAGCATCATTTTGTCCTGGAATTATTCAAGCTCCAGTTAGTCAGCAATCAATTCAAACCTGCTAGTACGACATCCTGGCTTTGTGAAGAACTATTACAAAACTTGATTAAAAGTTACAAATATAATCTAGTAGGCAGCCTTGCATCATGTAAGAACCAAATGCTAAAAAGCAAGCTATTACCTCCAACAGGAAGTTACACATGGATAATACTATGTTATACTTTATGCTTAAAAAAAGTCACTTGTATTTTCATTATTTTCAATTGAAATCATAGCTTGCATAAAATAATAAAAGGTTCAATAAAACAGAAGGACAATAAAAGGTTCAGTCAAAGCACAAGAGAGAAGTGCAAAGGAAAGAAATTATCACTCACAATTTGCGGCAAACCAATTAAGTATATTCAAAAGTGAAGATATGTGGAGAAAAATAACCCAACAAAAAAGGAGTCCTTTGTCATTTTAGGTGTTCTATTTCTCACACTCATGAATAAAACTTGAGCAAAAAAACACTCAAATAAAATTTGGTAATGTTTCTCCTCATCACTTGACACAAAAACAAACAATAAAGTAAATTCAATTTCACTTTAAGTTAGTCCTCTAATCTCTTTACTCCTATTATATCTCCCACCAAACAAAACACACCAAATATATACTTAGAACTCTATTTATTTAGAATATCTTTGGTATGAAAGAAAAGAGCAAGGATGGAGGAGGGTGGATGGAAATTGGAAAAGAGGAAATAAAATGAATTTTAGTCAAATTTGGTAGGAGTGATTGATTATTTTGTCCATATTAACCAAAAAAAAAAAAAGTCTTCCCAAATTGGAAGACTACAGAAAAATTAAGCATCATGTATGTTAAGTATTGTCGATTAAAAGTATCATCCACTTCTTTTAAAAATAAAAACCACTTGTCAATGCTACCAAGCAATGGATTAAAACAATTTTTTTTTCTTTCCATCACCATGAATCCATATTTCCTACCAAGTATGGTTGATAAAAGAGAAACCAATTTTTCTTTCCTTTCAGTTTTTTATCCCTCCTAAGTCTTTGTCTTTCCCTTCGAAATTACTCCTACAAAGCAAGGCTTACCAACAAATTATAAGAATGCTGAAGCCTATAAATCTTAGGAAGGAAAAAAAATGATTGAATGATCACCATAAATGAACTCATTAACCAGAGACTAACTTTCATTTGCCAAACAAACAAAACAACCTAAACTACATTGAACTGTAGGTCTAAACCAATTACGAAGTTTAGCAGTCTATCCGGTTTCTATTCAATTCCTGTTTCACTATCCCAATTTTCAAGTTCACATTCTATAGTACCGTAATCTAACACTATGCTACTGAATTCCCCAAAATCCAGCACAAGTAAGTAAACAAATTTCATCGTAATTCGCTAGCCTTTTCGATTTCAATGGAAAAATAAAAAAGTTAACAGTTTCTGAACAGCTAGAAAGGAATTCCGAAATAAACCCTAAAAGTTGTAAACAAACCCTAAAAACCTAGAGAGAGAGAGAAAGGAGATTTAAAAGAGAGAGAAGAGAGAGAGAAGCGAAATGACCTGCAGTAAGAGAGAGAGAGAATAGGAGACATTGAAATGGCGGAGCTTGGAATTGCTGAAGAATTCAGTGGCCGTCTCTTCGATTGATTTTTGTTCAGATGAGGATTTCAACAAGTTCAGTATGTTACACTGTTCTTCCAAATTCAGCAATTTCTTCCCCATTCTGTCCCTTTTTTTTTTTTTTAATTTAGCAAACGGCTAAAGATTTTGTCGACCTGATGCAAGTATTTATAAGGATTAATAAGCAAAATGGCTAATGTAATATTATTTTTTATTGGAAAAATCTAAACGTACTCTTTTTTTTATATGTATCTTTTTTTTTTTTTAATATTTTGTAAGTAAAATTATTTAACTAATCTTCTCGTAAGTTTTATATCTTTAAAAAATTTATTCTTAAAAAATTATAATACCTTTTAAAAATATATTTTAGAAAAATTATAACATTTTTTGAAACAAAATTTTATAAAAAATTATTTATAAATAAATATAATAAAAAGTTATTATTAGAAAATTCATAAATTTAAAATTAATTCAAAAATTTTTTTTATTATTTTTATCTTAGAGAAAGGATAATAACTTATGAGATCTTAATTAAGTTAAAAATAAAATAATCAATATAATTTTTTTTATAAATTTAAGATTTATTATTTTTCAATAAATAATTTTTATATCGATTATTAAAATTTTATAATAATTTTAATTAAACTAAATTTTTTGAAGAAAATTTTTCATCTACTTATCATGACAAGTTTTTTCGATTAGTGTATTAGATTTTGATAAAATTATGTAATATTTAATAATATTATGTTTATAGCTTTAAGGAGTTTTAACTCTTATTTATTGATTAGATCTATAGTATTTTTATCATTTTTTATACAATGAAGAGATAATATATTTAATTAGGACTTATAAGATTTTATTATTTCTTTAAAATCAAAATAGAAAAAGTAACTTTTTATTAATTTTAAAATTTACTTCTTTAATAATAATTTTTTATTACACTAGTTTATAAATAATTTTAACAAAATTTACGTTTTTGTCATTATTCATAAAAATTTTAACTATTGAAAATACATTTTCGATAAGTGTTATAATTTCTCATAAATACATTTTTCAGAAATGATATAACTTTTTAAAAATTGTAGATATTTAAAAACTTGTAAGAAAAATATTTAAGTAATTTTACTTATAAAATTTTTTTTAAAAAAGTGAGGTGTGGAGAGAATAAAGGTGAAATGCATTTAGTCACTCACTTTTTTATAAGTTTGATATCAAAAAAATAAAATTTTTACTTTAGTATTTTAAGGCTCTGTTTGGTAAGCATGAAAATAATTTATTGAAGTCCATTTCTTCCATTTTCATTATTTATATGACTTATAATAGTATGGTCAACAGAAAATAACTTCTAGTCAACAAAAAAAAAAGGCAAAATACGAAAATTGTCTTCCATTTTCTTTTTTTTTTTTAGGCAAAAGATAATTTTCATAACATATCAACTCCAAATCTTCCATCCATCAAGCAATCATGAACCCATCCCTTTTCCAACAACCAACCAATGACACTTTCCTCCCTATTCGTCAAAAATAGCCTCGATCGAATATCTTGGATCCATCTCCTTTGTGAAAAGACCATCAAGATTGAGACAAACATTTTTCTTGCTCACTTTTATAAGAGCTGAGTTAGAGATTACATCATAGATGGGGCCATTGATTATAAAGTATATGGGTTTTGATAGGTGGTTGACATTAAATTGGCAAATTTCTTACTTGCTGTCAAATCCATTAAAAGGTAGGTAGGTATGGCAAACCAAGAACCAAAAGAGAATAATGAAGAACAAGTTTGTGGTGGTTCTTCAACGCACCTAAAACCTAAAAAATCTGCTTTATTTTGCTCTTTTTTTAATTAGTTTCAGATTTTTAAGTTAAAAAAGGTATAGTCAAGATTGTGAAATTTTGGATCTAAACTTATAGAATTTTTTATATTTTTGATTTAATACCAAACACAAAAAAAAAAACTTCCAATGAAGTTACCAAACAACTAAAATTATTTTTTTCAAGAAGTTCATTTCTCTTGAAAATATTTCTTTTTGAAAGCTCATTTGTCATTATCAAATAAAGCCAATTTCATTCCAACTAGCACTTTGGTACCTTACATTGTTTTTGTCAATTAAGTGGTTAATGTGGCATAAATATTCAATAACATCACGTAAAGTGTCATAAATGTTCAATTATCATCATTTATCACATTAATAAAAAATTAAAAAAATATAGAATATGATTTTTTTAAATAAAAAATTCAAAAAAAATAAAAAAAAAAGATAACATGAAAAATAAACAATGTAGTGATGATCGCATATTTGTTTCATGTGTCATGATTTTATTAGGTATTATTGTCATGTAAGCAATTGACTAATGATGTTAGTCTAAAGTATCAAAGTGTTTGATGAAGTAAAAGTTTATGTAACAAAGTGAGAAATTTATTTTTTAAGTATTAAACTAACAAAAAAATATATAGTAGAGGAGACATTTTTATATTTAACCTTATTACAAATATGCTAATACAACTACGTAAGATTTACAAACATTATCAAGCCTAAAACGATTGCCTCTGCGTTTTGGGCTTAACACCCAATATGGTAGCTTAGGGATATTAAGCTCATCAACACCATTTTCTTTAACCTTAATCATATATATATATATATATATATATTATAGGGAAGTTATAAGTTACATCAGTGTTAAATCGACGACTAAGATTAACTTTTATTTTTGTTAATCTTTTCCTCTAGCTTTCACCATCTTCCTCTTTCCCCAATCTCACCCTCTTTCTCATATTTTTTCTTATTTCCCACTTCCTTAGGTGAGTACATCTCTTTCTCACTTTCAACAACTCATTTCAAAAATTTTTGTTTATCAATCCAAAGCTTATGCCTTCAGGTAAAATTATTTTTTTTTATTTTTTTTCTTGTTCATTTATTTAATTCAAAAAGTTCATTATTTTTTTCCCTAATTTCACCCTTTTTCACAATTTCAAAAATCATGTCTCTACTTATCAAATCCATGTTCAAAAATTAAAATCTTTGAATATTAGACTTTCAAATTTTCACTTTGGATTTTTATGTTGTCTTAAGAATTTGTTTATTACCTATTATGAGCATTTTTTGTCAAAAAGGTATAATTGTCTTTTATCATAGAGAATGATTGCACAACTAGATTGGGACTATTTCGATCATTTGGTCCAAGCTAATATGGTAGACCAAGTTGACGTGACAAACCGACCTAAGCACACTTTACCAATGCCAACCTAGTAAATCACCAATTTTTCAGGTATAAATTCGCCCTCATTCCCTGTAAGTATGAGCCATTTTTTTTCTCTTTATTCTCTCATTTCTATCTTTAAGCTTTTCCTATTCTCCTTTACTTCATTGACTTGAGCGTTGAAGTACAAACACTAGAAACAAACTTTAGCCTTTGCTCTTGACTAACCTCATACTTATGATTTCAAGTTCTTACCCTCTAGTCTGAGCTTAGCACCAATATTTTGGCACACCATGTAAGGACTTTTCTTAACTAAATTCTAAATGACATCATGACAAAGAATAGTAAAAAAGGGAAGGCATCCCATAATAACAAAAATCTCTAACACCCAGCTTGGTCAAAAACTATGGTGGCTAGCCTAAGGAAAAAGAAAAAAAAAGATTGATCACTTTTAGCTTTAGCTTTCAAATATCCACGATTGAAACCTATAATGATATTTTTAATCTTTTTAATCCATTGGATTTATTTTGTGTTAATATGTTGATACAAATAGAAATATCATGTAATGGGATTCAATATTGAAGCAACAAAAATGAATGAGCTATTCTACAATAATATGTGAAGCTACAAAAGTAGATAAGCTCTATAAAATAGCTTGGTAAAAAAACTCATCTTGATAAATTACTTGTATAAAGGTTTAGCTTAATCACTTCAATCAAATAGCTTATTTTGATAATTGTCTTTATAAAAGTTTAACTTGGTCACCTCGACAAAAAAGCTCATCTCGAGAAATTATCGTATAAAGGTTTAACATGACCTTTTCAGCCAAAATGCTTATATCAATAATTGTCTTCATAAAAGCTTAGCTAAACCACTTTAGCCAAATAGCAAATTGCCTTCATAAAAGTTCGTTTAAGAAAAAGAGTTCAAGTTAACAAATTGCCTTCAAAAAGGCCTAACTCAACAAATTATTTTCCTAAAGGCTTAGCTCCACCACATCAGCCAAAAAGTTCATCTAAATAAATTATCTTTATAAAAGCTTAGCTCGACAATAGAGTTCATCTAAGTAATTACTTTAACATAGGTTCGACCACCTCTGCAAAAAACTTTATTGTGGTAAATTATCTTCATAAAAGCTTGTTTGACAAAAAAGTTTAATTCAACAAATTGCCTTCATAAAAACTTAGTTCAACAAATTGCATTCATGAAAGCTTTGCTGCACCACCCCAACCAAAAAGCTTATCTAGATAAATTACCTTCGTAAAGACCTAGTTTGGTAAAAAAGTTAATATTAGTAAATTGCATTTATAAAGGTTTAGCTTGACCTACTTCGGTCAAAAAGCTCATCTCGACAAACTGCCTTTATAAAAGTCTACTTTAGGAAAATATCTCAGTTCAACAAATTGCTTTTATAAAGCCTGGCTTGACAAAAGAACTTATTTCAACAAATTACATTTATAAAGGCTTACCTTGGCTACCTCAGCAAAAAAGCTTAGTTCGACAAATTACTTTCATAAAAGTCAGCTTGGCAAAAGAGCTCATCTTAATAAATTACTTCCATAAAAACTCACCTAGACAAAAAATGTCAACTTAATAAATTACCTTTACAAATGTTCAGTTTTACCAAAAAAGCTCAACTAGGCTAAATGTCATTGATAAAATATTAGTTTTATTATATTTTCTTAAAAAAATATTAGCTCAATGAAAAGAAATCAGCTTAGCTAAAAGAGCTCGGCTCAGCCAAATTTTATTAATAAAGTACTAATTTCACCATATTTTCTTAATAAATGATTAACTAGGCCAAAAAAGCTCAGCTCGATTAAAAATAGTTTAGCTTTACCAAATTTCATTGATAAAGTATTAACTTTTCTATATTTCCTTCAGAGTTAATAGTACCCGTAATCCTTAAATTTTGACCCAAATTTTATTTTGGTCCCTAAACTTTAAAAAATTTTAATCGGATCTTTAATTGCCTAAAATTTTCTTATTTTGATCTTTTCATCTA